GATCTTGCTGGTCCTCAAGCCCTTCCTCGAGGCCACTGAGACCCTCAGTGCTGCTAATGCCTTCCTCAGCCAGGTGGTCCCCATAATGAAGGAGCTCTGCAGCCAAATGGAGAGCTTCCTGGGGGCCAATGTTCTTGGCTGGGGCAGGCCACTTTCACCAGATGTGCAGGCACTGGTGAAGCGGCTGAAGGAGGGAGTTAGGAAAAGGCTTGAAACCTTGGTGTCCAACACAGTGCATGTGCTAGCCGCCATCTGTGACCCAAGGGTGAAGGGCACCATATGTGGCAGCGAGACACTGAGTCACTGGAGGGAGGTACTTATTAAGAAAGTGACGGAGGCGGAACGGCGGAGGCGGGGGGAAGTGGAACAGGGGGATTCACTGCCTGAACCCAGCCCACCACCCACGAGCCAGTCTTCCCCTCCACCACAGGCGCTGCCAATATGGGCTAAGGCCATGGAAAACATTAGGGGGTCCAGGCCCACCAGACCGCAGAATCAGGCAGACAGCCCTCACACCTTGGTGTCTGCCTATCTTGCCGAGCCTGTGGAGCCCCTGGACTGTGACCCCTTGGCCTACTGAGCAACCCGCAGCCCAATGTGGCCAGATCTGGCCACAGTTGCCTGGGAATACCTGTCCTGTCCACCGACCAGTGTGCCAAGCAAAAGGGTGTTCAGCATGGCTGCAGATGTTGTGACACCCCACTGCACCTGCTTGGACCCTGGTTTGGTGGAGCAGCTGGTGTTCCTCAAGGTGAACCTCCCGCTGCCGGGGCTCCCCAAGCTCCAGGTTCAGACGGAGTAAATGCCACAGTCCTCACTCCATCTGGATCACGACTTTTGTCTGTCAGCAGCCTAAGGTGCAGTTTCCCCCAAACCCATGCACCTATCACTGTGAAAGTTGGCAGGCTTTGTGGGCTCCTCAGGGTCTGGCAAGCCTGCAGTTTTTAGCTCACTGTGGCTTTCCACACAGAAGTCACAGGAGGTTTTCACTCAAGAATTTGGGGTGCTGTTTCTCCAAATCCCCTGAATGTATCTTATTGAAAGTTGGCAGGCTTTGTGGGCACCTCAGGAGCTACCATTCCTGCAAGTTTCATCAAGATCAGACAAGAAATGCCAAAGTTATAGCCTGCTTCGACCTTCACCATTATAGCCTATGGGGAAGTCGAAGCAGCTCGAATATTCGAATGAGCTTCGACCTCGAGTCAAAGCGGACCCACTTCAACTTGAAGTGGACGGCAAATCGAAGCAGGACCCAGTTTAATATTCAACATGGCTGTTGAATTTAATATTACCTGCTCTGCACAGCCCTAGTAAATAACTGGTCATTAGTCTATTTTACTGTGCAATAACCTAGCGCATGGTTAAATACTGACACTTTACTGTGCAGTAGATTAGTCTACTGCACAATAAAGTGCCCTGTGTAGACATACCCATGACAACTCTGAAAATAAATAATCAGAAACACATTAGTTCTTAGAGAAAACTGGAAACTAATCATGAACAGTAATTGATCTGATGTTTATATCTAAAAGCTTTTTATTACCACTCAAAAATATGCTTGCAGAAACTTCTTTCACTCTGACTCCTCTTCCCTTCTATTCTCCTACAAAAGGCATGTCAGACTGTTACAATCTCAATTCATAGTAGAAATCTAATTAGAAGTGAGGAAATACCTTATTTCTTGTAAGGTCCTTGCATGTTACAGCCTACCACTCCAAGCCCTTTCTCCTACTATTGCATGAGTAGATAAGTATTTTTAAACAAGACATCCACTGAGGACTCAGATAAAATATTAATTGCAAAGACATTCTGTAAAGAAGAGGGGACAGAGTAGGCAGTAAACTATCAGAGTTGTTAAAATGACTCCACTGTTTGCCTCCAATTTAAATTGCACAGGAGGTAATAAGGTCCCAGACTGTGAAAGCAAACAGGCCAGAGACAGTAAGGGGAGGGAAGGAAAGGGAGAGAAATGAGCAAAAATTACACAAGGAATTTTGTCTTGCTGCTGTCTATAAGATTGAAGTTGGGACTGCACATTTTGTGAAGAGCATCAATATCTAGTATTATCATAATGAATTATAATCACCTCTGCCTTGGAAGAGATCATTTGACCCTAAGTTTAAGGCATTAAGCCCATTAAGCCCATTTCTAACTATTAGAGAGAAACATGTTATCCATTGAAGGGTGGGCTAGAGAGCAGATTGCCCTGATTCTGGCTACCAGGGTTGTTATTGCAGTGTCCTCTAATACGTGTGGTGCTGGCCACATACCAGTAACAGAGTAAGAGAGACAGGTTACTGAACTAGGTGGATATCAGGGCTGAACTAGAGTAATACAGAAACAGACAGGTTACTGGACTAGATGGGTATCAGGCTGAACTAGTGTAGCAATGCTTATATTCTGAGGTTTGTTATAATTTTTCTTTCCCTGCATTCTCCATATCAAACACCTCCCATCTTACTACACTCTACTAGGTTTTGTTTGTTTTATTTTATGAGGATAGAGGAAGCTTGAACAGGGAAATACTTCTGCCCTGATATCTCATTCATATTGAGCAATAAGCAGTTCTTATTTAAGAATGTGGCTGCATATTTTCATTTTTAAAAGGAGTAAAGCTTAAAATATGGGCATGGATAAATAAAGTAGCAACAGTTATTTAAAGAATTCTGAGTTCCTAATCGGAGACTTTTTATTCTCAAAAGGTTTTGCTTCTGTTCAGTAACTAGACAAGTAAATGTTAAAACCTGGTCTAGTTTCCTTTTTCCCCTTTACTTTTTAAAATTATAGGATGTTTATATTTGATGTGTAAAACACTGGAGGTCTTTACTGAGACTTTTTAACCCTGTACCCTGTTTTTTGCTCATAGGTGGTCTATCCATTGCAATGTTGCAGAGCATTGAACTTTTCATTTTATTGGTCTCAGACAGCAGCCACCAGTCAGTTATCTGCCCTGAATTGTATAAAGTAAGCTCTGACTTTAATGTAAGAAAAAGAGGGGCATAATCATAGTATTGGAAAGGTGCAATTACAATTTATATATATACACAGTTAAAAGCAAAGCACAGAATTCTGAGTATGCCCTTTCATCAAGTATCAAACCAAAACCCAGCTGGGATAGCCCATAGACTTCCATCCACCTTCCGTTGAGCAACATGAGGCAAATAAAAGGTTTATGGTCCTTGCTGTATGTTGCTCAGATGAAACTCCATGCAACATCAACAGATACTGACCAACAGATGGCACCTGAATATTCCTTCCCCTCCTATCATGCTGCTGTGTAACCTCATCTCAGAAATAATCAAGACAGGACTACTTGAACCATCAAATTCCTAGTCCCCAGAATATGTTGCTTTACCTTCTCAACTGGATTCAATCAGCAGAAGTGTACTAAACCTAGCATACCATAGTGCTATAAAACATACTTGGGTAGTGAAATCTTCAAAAAAAGTGAATACCAACATTCAACACTCAGAGTGTTGAGTCCCCTATATTTTTTCCAGTTATGAAAACAGTGTACCTTTGGAAGAACATACTGGTAGAAACAATGTCAAAGACAAATACTTACAATACAAGAGCACTTAATGCATTTGTTCCCTTGTGGCTGAAATTCTTCCCCTTCCTTGTAATGTCTACCTTCAAATATACAACCTGAAAAGGAGTGTTTGGGTAAATTTGACTTGGGTCAATACATTTTTTGTTGTAATATGATCCTACCATAGAACTATGTAGAAAATAAATAATTTCTTCTTTTCAGTAATATGCATCATCTCTATATTATAGAAAGTACGAAAAACAGTTTTGTGACAGAAAGAGAAAGAACAAGAAGAGAATATTTTCACAGGGAATACTTTTTCAGAAAGTTTTTTATATCACTATAGTCAAGATTGGGTCAGGAATTCCATTAAAACTCCTATTTAAAGAAAAAAAACCCCACTTGTTTTAACAGTCCTCATGTCCTTATCCACATAAGATGTGGTGAGTTGTCAGAATAAACTAAATGCACTGTGCCAGTTGTACCTCAGAAAGAATAATGTTTTGTTATTTATGACTGTGGAAAAAATAGGTCAGGGGCACAGTGGCAGAGACATTAAGGTACCTAGCTACAATTAGGAAAGCAGGTGTTCAAGCTCATGCCAAAGCCCACACTCCCCACTTGGCACACCCAGAAGGCTGTCTATTCATTTGGGCTGGGGAGTCAAAGGTAGCTAGATGTGAAGCTAGCCACACCACTCCCTTGGGTACTGTTGGCTGTGAAAACTGGTATGCCTTACCCACACTAGCCCAATGAGCTATTAAGGCTCTAGTAGAACTTTGACCTTGAGGGAAACAGGTTTATTTGAGATATTCTCTCATAAAAATAAGCCTCCAAGCCACCCCCTTCCTGTTATCTCCCAATTGTAAATTAAACCATATTCTCATGGTTTTAATGAACCCCTGCACATTAAGTGCCATACTCCAAAAACCCTCTTCCTAGTTATCCTGTGACATACCTTGCAGGGTCAATGCCTTCATCCCTGAAGTATGAAATCTAAATGGACTTGGTTCAGTTGTCCATAAACGTCCTGAGTATTGCACTGCTGGAAAGCTAAATGTGTTGCCTTCCAAGTTACTTAAATACTTCCCAGTGCAACTTCCCTCCCCTATTCTGTGGCTTTAAGAAAACCATCTCAATTCAGGTGCTCAAAAATCCCTTCACACCATTTTTCTGCCCCCTCAAAACATTCTGTTCAACTGGCGTCCAGCTGAGTAGCTTTCCTCTTCTTTCTCTATTATAGTTAGTACCTACTGTGAAACGGTAACTAGAAGTATTACGGACAGAATCATAGACAAGAGAGAATTAGGGTTGGAAGAAACCTCAGGAGGTCATCTAGCTTAGACCCTGCTCAAAGACGGACCAGCCCCAACTATATCATCCCAGCCAAGGCTTTGTCTAGCCAGATCTTAAAAACCTCCAAGTTAAAGCCAAAAGGCTGTTGAATTCAATCTAATATAAGTGCTTCGCAGCCCAGGGAATCTTCAGCTCCACAGCAAAAAGAATGAAGCCTATTCATTAGGTTCCTCTCTCTCCTGATTTGGTGGCATGAGAGCTGACAGTGGGG